TTTTGTAAACAATGACTTCTCTCGATGGTTTATAGGAATTCAAGACACGTCCGCTCAAACCAGCATCACAATTGGGTTGGGGAAGACTTCACTAATTGTTTCAATCGTCATTGGGGTAAATGAACCACAACCTTTCATGCGAGATATCAAATTTCAAGAATTGACAGTCTTATCGTATGCCTTTGTTCATATTGGCTGCATCCGGATAGAAATCATGTGGATTAATAAACCATTGTTTTTCATATTCATATGTGTAAATAAGATCAGATAGGGAATTTCATTCTGGAATTTGGAGATAATTTATGCTTGTCCACCGATCGTGAAGCTTTTCCAAAGCCTTGATACTATGGCTGGTTTTCCTCATTGGGATACGAACTTTGACCCAAACTTGTTCTGCCGATTGAAACACCTTCCAGCAGCATTGTCGTATCGTGGAGCGAGATTGTGCGCGATGAAAAAAGAAGAGCTGCAGTACTTGTCGGTTACTCGGAAGTTTTCCACCGGTGAACCAGGTAATGGGCTGACCGATCAACCACTTCTCCGTATCACTCTTCAACTCCATGGCACTATTGTATCCAGAGATGACAGCAATGAGGTACAGAGAGAGGTGAAGCAGATCGTGAAATATGGTTGTATTAGTAATCCAAAAAATCAACGTAAACACAATTAGTGACGTCACTAATTGCATGTATCATACAGGGGTTTTACTAACACAACTTCAACTCGGTAATCCAGCTCATTGAGATGACAGCACAATATGTTTATAAACATTGAGGTAAAAATAATCTGGCAAAGCATACTATGAAATATGCTCTATCAGCATACCTGCTTTTCTGCTCAAATCAAGGTTTATCAGCAATCTGAGTTTAATGTTTTTTTGGAGCATCAAATCGACTTGCAGCCTTCAACAAAGTTGTTCATTATAGTTTTATGTATAACATATTTTATTTCATGCAAATCGGTTCGTTAGGAAAAAAGTTAGACTGATTTTAGTGGGTCATCATTGTCATTGTCGTTGGCGCGATTTCTTGTGTGTGTTGAGCTGATTTTTTGCACAGATGTTTGTTTTTTTGTTATGAACTCAACTAGGGGGTGGCCTATCAAAAATATCAAAATTTTTCAAGAATGAAACACCTTAATGATTTTTTGCTGTTGCACCGGTAAAGTGTTTTTTGTTTGTACTATAAGCAGAGAATCAATAATATCTTATGCCGCGGATACACTTGGATGACACACTATGAGCATGAGCATTATTTGTATAATAATTAGGGTTGATGGGGGTCTAAGATTTTGTGACAAGCAATGAATAAGGTATAGGAAAACCGTGACGATAGGGGGGGGGGGATTAAATTTTTTCTCGATTTAGCGTGACATAATTAATGCATGGGTCCTTATGAGCACTGTACTGCCCTGTGCGGCATAACAGTCCAATTAGCATTTTTGGCGAAAATGAGTTATACATTGGAATCGATTGTCAAGTACCATCACTTTACAATGTATATCAAAAGTTTCCTACTTTGTTCAGAAAATGTCACGAAAAATACCAAAACTGTATTGTCCAATCCATAAGAGCCCATAGAGAAGAAAAATCTTCAACAGTTTTTTTTAGCTTGCTGTTATAACGAATAAGACATCTGCTAACATACGTTCTATTTCCATTTGGCATGATTTACAACGTTATTTTCTAGTGACAATCTGCCAAAACGTTAACTTTTACTAAGGTGATCATATTGTCCCGTATGATGACCCATCATGCCCCGTAAAGTTGTTGATCGGAGCAAAAACTGTCATTTTTTAAAAATAAGCATTTAATGGGTATATCATACTTAAATAGTAATAGTTTGTTGATACCAGAACAATCGGGATATCGGGAAGGTCATTCTTGTGAAACCGCGTTAAATTTGGTGTTAGCGAAGTGGAAACATAACTTAGATTGTAAAGATACGATTGTTGCTGTTTGTTTGGATCTTAAACGTGATTTTGAAACAATTTCTAGGCCCTTATTGTTAAGATCAATCAAACGCTTTGGAATTACGAGTACTGCATATAAATGGTTTGAAAGCTATTTGTCTGACAGAACTCAACGGACTGTTTTTAAAGATTCTGTTTCCAGTCCCGTGGGGAAAAACCTTGGAGTGCCCCAGGGAAGTGTATTAGGGCCCCTTTTATTTATTATGTATATTAATGACTTGCGACGTGTTTTACGATTTTGCGACATTAATCTTTTTGCAGATGATACTGTGTTATTCATTGCAGCTAAGGATTTAGATGATGCCGTTTTACACTAAAATGAAGATTTGCGTTCTCTAAGTAGATGGTTGAAGTATGCGCAGTTGAAATTGAATACAAGTAAAACTAAATTTATGGTAATTTCGCGGAATAGAGTAAATGAGAACGTCTCTGTTGTAATTGATGATGAGACTATTGATCGCGTTTGGGAGCTTAAATATCTTGGCGTGATTATTGATAACAAACTTAAGTTCAACTCTCACATTGACAATGTCATCAAGAAAATTGCCAAGAAGTATGGAATTCTATGTCATTTGAAAAACAATTTAACTATTGCCAGTAAAATACAGCTATACAAATGAATCATCTAGACTTTTGCCCTTCCATTTTATTTCTGGCCAATGCAACACAAATATCGAGATTACAGCGTATGCAGAATAAAATAATGCGTTTGATTTTGAGATGTAATAGATTCACTTCCTTCACTTTTATGCTGGACGCCTTACAATGGTTGTCGGTGAAGCAAAGAATTGTATATTTGACTATCTGCAATCTGAGTTCCGAATGCTAATTTATGTTTTCTGGAGCATGAAATCGACTTGCAGCAGTTGTTCATTATAGTTTTAAGTATAACATGTTTTGAAATTTTGAAGCTTATTTGGAAGATAGCTTGAGTTAGTTATAAGTTTTCTGGCAAATGTTGGGGGCTCGTGAGCATTCTTGACATTGCTGAAAATTATGATTGCATCAGATTGCGGAGTTGCTAGTGTAATAGGATGCTTTGTTGATTGTTCATTAATTCTTGATTGCTTGTAATACTTATGAATATTTTAGGTGGACAAAAATGCAAACTAAGAGGTAGACGCCTAAGCTTTTCCACATTTATATCGCTGTGAAGTAACTGTAAACTCTAGAGGGAATTTATATCTGTAACTGAAACCAGTTCGATTTTGTTTGCTAACCTGGTTGAAATGTCATATTTATTTATCTTAAAGATAAGTCGTCCAGCTCAAACCTTTGTAGGGGTAAGAGGTGGGACCTTCATCATCATGATCATCGTAACATATAAACATATTCCAAAGCATTAGTTGATTGCAGGTATCATACATTTAGGAACGGTTTTCCATGTTTTATGATGTGTTTTTCTTAGGGGGACCATATGACCATATCACCCCTACTCATGTAGCATTTCAACTATTTGCAAGGGGCTTCAATTTTCCGATTCGGAAGTATTCATACCCTATTGGGTTGTCTTTCAAACCGTTTAGGATCAAAGAAGAAACTGCTAGATAAGTTTTGAAAACTTCAATTGATAGTAAATGCTTTCTACCAGAGATGTTTTACAGTGCCTTTCCGTTTTTGGCAAAACCCGATTTTTGTCTTCTTTGCTTTCTATGACATTCATCGATCGTTTTTTTTCCGATTTGTGATTGTACTAGACTTTTATATACTTGGTGGTTCATGAAAAATTATCCAGAAAGTACTAGTATAAATCTGAGGAAAGTAATAGCTTATGAATGGAAAGGAACAATTGAAAAATGCCTTATTTAGATAGGAGTTAGGTATTTGGCACTCTGAAGCTTGATAATCTTACATCCACTTGTGGCTCATCCTCTCGAGTACCTATTATAGGCACTTGACATGTAACGATACTCTATCAAATGCCGTTACTCGATAAAGACACTCACTGACTGATTGACGACGAACGACTCCACAACGAAGAATATTAATTTTTGCCCTTTTCTGTTCAATGACCGTCCGTTCTTAAGGTCACACATTAGCATTCTTCGTTTGCTATTTTTTTTTGGCATTTTCCGTCCTTTCTTCCCACCCGAGCAACACGCGGATGAATAGTTTACAAACATTCACTCACGGTGTCTTCGCGTTGTTTGGGATAAATATCAAAACATCAGACCATAGACGACGCTCTCCGACACAACAGGACTCAAAACCGAGAGAACCGAGCAGACATCAGGGAGAGACGTCGCTGGTGTTCGCTGTGCGCAAGTACCGCCAGAGAAGCAAACTAACATAAGGCGATTCAAAAACACCACCAGCCAGCGTGAAAATAAAACATTTTATCGTGAAGGTTTCTTTCATCATGATTAATCATACAAGCGCAAGTGTGAACAGCAGCGTGTACAAGGAGAATGGAAACATGACGAAATTTTAGAAACAGTCGGTCAATAGGAGATTGATTAATTTTTTGCAATAGATTTTGGGTTTGCAACTTCGAAGCCGTAGTCGTCGGGAAGTGTTGAGTCATTTTCTTATGGAAGGTGGTGATCGGTGAACTGCGGGATGGTGCTATGGGCGCTATGGCACACTTTTGGTTAGTGAATTTCTGCATTGAATGTGTTACTCGCGGTTGTTTAACCTTCTTTATGGGGCAAGGTCAAACCAAATTGAATAATAGGAAACAGGAAATAGTTGTGGTTGTTGATTTGAGAGCATAGTTACAGGAATACGCTCAGTTCAAATTTGATGTGTCATGATGATATCGATTGGGGCGGCACGCGAGTCACACAGTTGTCACAAAATGCTACCACCCAAAATGAGTCCTCAAAATTTTGGAGTTGACATTCCAGACAAGTTGTCTGGATCCCAATAAATTACTAAACGATGCATAGAACTTATCCATGAGATTCTGATAGTACTAGAAAGCAAAATAATACATCAGGAAAGTCCAATCGATATCATTGCAGTACACCCCCTTCTAACTACTCTGGTATATCACACTAGTGATGTTATAGGCCACCCCAGACACTTACCTTATTGAAACGCCCATTATGCAGCCGGGCGAACCCGGACACTCCACCGGCTACTTCACCGTCGGACTCCACTGGCCACTGGCCCAAACGATCGCGGCTGGTTTCGCTCATGTTGCTGGTGGTACTGAATTTACAGACGGCTGATCTATTCGCTGGTGCTTGTTTGCCGTTTGACAGCTCACTACAGACTGCCGCTCCGTTGTTACGGGACGAGGCACCATGACTGCTGCTGGTCATCAGGCCTGCTGTGGTGTGCGTTTTCGCGGTGGCGGCGCTCTCAGGCTGGTATCTACCACTGAAAGATTGCAGAGAAATCGAAAGACGAATCAGTTTATCGTACCGTGATAACATTTTCACTTTTTAATGCGATTCTCTTCTCCTAATAGATTGAACTTGAGATCACTTGCGATCACTTTGTAACTTATGGTCCGAAGCAGTCGGAGTTTTGCGAAAATATGAGCTATCCTAGGATGTGATATAACAGCCAGCTACGCTTTCGTCACTGCTGGACGTCATTTGGTTTCTACGCTTTTTTTTTCTCGTCTAAATCGTAAATAGGTAGCAAGAATGAAAGAAACGTTTTTCAAAAAGCTTATTTATAAGACAATATATTGTTCTCTATCCTATTTGCTCGAATCGGTATCGGTACTCTCTGGTACTGAGACCGGTCACTAGATTCTCTCTTATCACTGTGCGAAGAATTGCGCATTATATTTTGCGCATATATATATATTGGACATAATTTTGAACAGGGCTTATCTATGACTGAAAAATTACCATAAATTGTTCAAAGTTGAATTGACATCTTCCCATATCGGGTAGAACCTAGTGGGCAGGCCCTTCGGAAGCTACCTATACCTGCTATGTGATTATCGGTCATATGTTTCGGGTAGATACACAACTGGCAGCTCACGAATACAGCCAAATCACTTTTAAGCGACCACACAGATGTACGTTTGCCCCAACACTAGTGCTATGATATCTTACCCCTACAGCACAATATTTGGGCGAGTGGAAAATTGAGATACATACTCATCACTCGAGTGACTTTTTTACTGTGACAAGATACATCACTGCTATCGGTTATGTTGAGTCATTTTATGACGCACTATGGGGATAGATCAACAACAGGATCTTGGATTGGCTGAACACAAGTTAACGTTTCAATTATTAACAATAAGGGGAATGTGGGGTACAATGGACTTTTGTAAAGCGTTGGAATAATCAAAATTCTGAAAATGTAAGCGATTGAAGGGATGCAAGATTGATTTATTGATAGATATTGATATTGATTTTCATGAATAAGCATTTGAAAATGAGAAAATGGTTTTTGTAATATTAAAACGATGAAATTCTCCTTAAAACTTGGAAACTTCACTCCATAGCTACTCAGATTTACTGTCCTGCGCATGTTTTTTTTTTGTCAGAGAAGCGGAGCGACGGGCAGGCGTCTAGAATAAGCTTCTATAAAAAGATTATAATGAAGAAGATACTTAAAGGGTGATACGGTCAAAATTTGGTCAATATCAACTTGACGTATTTCTTTCAATTTTGCATTTAAAAAACCTGAACACCCCTCATTTTGAAGGTGTGTGTGTGTAGAATGTTGCTCCTATTTTGATTTTGGAATTCACTCTTCAGTTGTCAAAATGCCGTCCAAGCAAGAAGAGCAGCGTATCAAAATTTTGCTCGCGCATCGCGAAAATCCGAGCTACTCGCACGCAAAGTTGGCAAAATCGCTAAAAGTTGCCAAATCAACCGTTACAAATGTAATTAAAGTGTTTGGGGAACGTTTGTCGACAGCCAGGAAGTCTGGATCGGGGGGAAATCGAAAACCGGAAGCCGCTGAGACGACAAAGAGAGTTGCCGGTAGTTTCAAGCGAAACCCTAACCTCTCTCTCCGAGATGCCGCAAATAAGCTGGGTGTATCGTCTACAACCGTGCATCGAGCCAAAAAACGAGCCGGACTATCGACTTACAAGAAGGCAGTGACTCCAAATCGCGATGATAAACAAAATACGACGGCCAAAGCGCGATCCCGGAGGCTGTACACGACGATGCTGACGAAGTTTGACTGCGTGGTAATAGACGACGAAACCTACGTCAAAGCCGACTACAAGCAGCTTCCGGGACAGGAGTTTTATACGGCAAAAGGAAGGGGAAAGGTAGCAGATGTTTTCAAGCACATGAAACTGTCAAAGTTCGCAAAGAAATATCTGGTTTGGCAAGCCATCTGTACCTGTGGCTTGAAAAGCAGCATTTTCATAGCTTCCGGGACTGTCAACCAAGAAATTTACGTGAAAGAGTGTTTGAATAAACGTCTGCTGCCTTTCCTGAAGAAACACGGTTGTTCCGTACTGTTTTGGCCGGATTTGGCATCTTGCCATTACGGTAAAAAGGCCATGGAGTGGTACGCCGCCAACAACGTGCAGGTGGTTCCCAAGGACAAGAACCCTCCCAACACGCCAGAGCTCCGCCCAATTGAGAAATACTGGGCTATTGTCAAGCAAAACCTAAAGAAGACCAAAAAAAACTGCTAAGGGCGAGCAGCAGTTCAAGGCAAACTGGCTTTCTGCGGCGAAGAAGGTGGACAAGGTGGCTGTACAAAATCTGATGGCAGGGGTCAAGCGTAAGGCCCGGCAATTCGGATTTGTAAAAGCGGAAGCCTAACTGAATATTTTTCCTGAATTTTATACTAATTGAACTTGAAAAAGAAATTTAATTTGATTTTTTAAATAAACGATTTCACCGATTTACACGCGTTTTCCCTTGACCAAATTTTGACCGTATCACCCTTTATGCATAAGAGTCCCACGGTGCATAAGAAATGTATAGAACATGGGGCAGTTATGCGAATAATGGCAGTGGATGATATGATATAATATGATCCATTATCAATTTCATTCGAGCAGTTGAAAATGATGTTGCTTCTACTTGAACTTTTATGAAATATGCAATGTTTCGATTTATCTTCCTCATTATCACACCGAAAAAAAAATATCATCACTTACACATTCACAAAACCTCAATATATTTGTGTAATTGTCAAAAAACATTGTTAGAAAGTCATTAAAAACCCGCCTTAAGCAGAATTAAATTTAATACGCTCAGATCACGGCGATTAAACTGTCTATTGATGTCAAATTGACAAGAAGTGGTAATAGGCAAATATCACAAGAGAAGCATGCATTACGTAACGTGCATTACTCCACGAAAAATTCAGGAAAATCAAGCACCCTCTTTGGAAATTGCTCCTTTATCAAATTCATTTCTTATCACATATATCACATATGCATCTCTCCCGAGAGTGAGACGTATATTAACACAACGTGTAGATGGCCCTTTTAGGATGAAAGTCTCTTTCTCACCAATGCTTGGTAGTCATAAGTTAGAGAGAGAGACATCCGTCCTACACGCATCAGTTTATTGGCGTTAACTCTACTAGCTCTGAGCCGGGACACTAAAGGGTGTCCCACATCAAATTGCATCACGGAAAAAACGGTGTAGAAAATTATCCACTGGGTATTTTCTCTTGAAAATTTGGCAGTTCATAGTTAGTTTATTTTGATCGCTGTCAGTTTTTCGAAAGTTGGAAAAAATGGCGTCACGTGAAAATCAACGTCGCGAATTGATTTTGCGCAAGCACCTGGAAAATCCTCAACTCTCTCATCGGGACATCGGAAAACAACTCGGAATCGTGCAGTCAACGGTGAGTCGTGTGATTAAACGTTACTACGAAACTCTGAGCATAGGACGGAAGGATGAATGCGGTCAGAATGGATGTTCTATTAGTGATCAGGATCACAAGCATGTCGTGAAAGCGTTTAAGCGGAATCCCAAAGCTTCAGTCAGGGATGTGGCCAAAAAGTTGAATCTGTCCAAGTCTTTCGTTCAGAGAGCCAAGGACCGGCAGGGACTGCATACGTACAAAGTGCAGAAGACTCCAAACCGTGATGAACGACAAAATACGGTGAGAAAGTCACGGGCCCAGAAACTGTACACCCAGATGCTGACGAAGCCTCATTGTCTCATCATGGATGATGAGACTTACGTCAAGGCGGACTTCCGGCAGCTTCCGGGGATCCTAGTCTTCACCGCCCAGCACAAGTTTGATGTTCCGGAGGAAGTAAGGAAGCAGAAACTTTCAAAGTTTGCCAAGAAATACATGATTTGGCAGGCGATCTGCTCATGTGGCAAACGGAGTGCGCCGTTCGTGACTACCGGGACTGTAAACGGGGAGATCTACCTCAAGGAGTGTGTACAGAAGCATCTGCTTCCTCTGTTGAAGCAACACGAGGGCCTTACGATCTTCAAATGTTGTCCTGGAGTGGTACGAAGCCAACGGGGTAACTTTCGTACCCAAGAAAATAAACCCCCCCCCACCCCCCATCAACGCACCGGAACTAAGGCCCATCGAAAAATACTGGGCTATTATGAAGCAGGCACTACGGAAGGATCCCAAGGAGGTTAAATCTGAGGAAGACATGAAGAAAAAGTGGGTTTCCGTACAGAAGAAGCTGCAGCCAGATGTTGCACAGAACCTAATGAGTGGAGTTAAGCGTAAGGTGCGAGCGTACGGTTATGGTATTGAAGTTGAATGAAATAAAAATGCCAAAAGCTTACTAATGGGTTATATTTTAATGTCTGAAAGTTTTAAAAGGATCGATCAGCTAGGTAATTTTCTACAGCGTTTTTTTCGTGATGCAATTTGATGTGGGATACCCTTTATCTTTACTCCAAACATGTGTGTGAAAAAATGCAAACAAATATTCGCTACTTCACTTTCTCACGTAATACTGCAAACAAAATAGTCACACCCATTAACGGTAATTGATAGAAGGACGGTACGTTGGCACAGTGCCGCACGGCACGCACCGAACAACTTAAGCACGGCACCAAGCATAACAGAACGGCTCTTCGGTATAGCTTGTTCTTCGCATCGGTGGCGTGCCGGGAAGAGGTACCGAAACCAAGGGCGTGTTCGCTTCGAAAGGGAAGCAATATTTTAGCATGGCGTGCGGTGTTTTGACAAGTTTGAATTACAAACCAAACTAAATATTAGCACTAAATATATTTAACGCACGTACACTAGCGAGCATCGCCATGTAAAGTTGTTTATTATTTTCCTCTGACTAACCTGGAAAATGTACGAAATTAGATCTGTCAATATGAGTTTGACAGCGATTTGTTATGTATTTTCCTCGGATTTTCACTAACACGCTCTCACATATCGCACCAATACAACCGGACGTGAAAATCTCAATATGCCCCAGACCTTATAAAAAAGGACATTGC